GAGTTTTTTTGGGGGGGAAATGTACAGATAACCACAGAAGCACTGTTACTAAAAAGGAGAACAAAAAGATAACAGTTACAATTGCTCCATCAGTTGCTGAACACAGAAAAGCTAGTTACAGTAAGCAGTACTTTCTATGATATAGAAAACTAATATAGAATGGGCTCTACTGATAAAATAGACACAGATAGAGAAATAATCAGGCAGGTAAGTTACCCATAGAAAGTAACAGAGCAAAGTGAAAGGGTGCATTAAGGACAATACCTTTTTTCTGATGTATTTGGGGATAAGGCCAGAGTTTTCCAGAAGCTGTTTCTTTGTTTCTATGAGAGAAGGCTTAGGTGTCACTTTAACCAAATCAGTTTTCTGTGAGAAAACCTTCTTGGATTGGATCCTAATCTGTGGCTTGTCGGTCCGTAAAGGGGCTGGAGGCTTGTGGAAATGTTCAGGTTCTGTTGAATAGAAAACAAAAGCAGACACAGGTCATATTACCATTAATAAGACAAACCCTTAGGAAAATTGGTATAGCAACTCACCCGCAGGAGGTTTAAACTGCTTTGAATGCTTTTTGAGGAACTTATCTGGAGACGGGAGTTCCACTTTAGGTGGTCCCATCGTCTCCATTGCATATTTCTGTTTGGACTCTTGCTCAATAATCGCAGCTAGGCTGTGCTTGGCTGTATACCTTTAAAGGAGATTTCAGAAAACCACTTAACCATTAAAGCCCTTCAATCATAGAATAGAATAGAATAGAATAGATTTACTTTATTTATCCCAAGCTGGGAAATTGTAGTGTAGCAGCAGCTTTACACATAGTGACAGTCACAACGTCACAATCCATATTTATTAAGATTTTATGTGGAAAAAACTAACTTTTTATTAAATGACAACATTTGGGGCCAAAGTAACATACACTTTTTTTGTCTGCTTTGGTTTTAAAGATGTATAAAAATATTCAAATTTGTATTTTAATTTTTCGTTCAAAGAAAGGTAATCAGCAAATACCATGATCCCACTTCTGGAACCAGTGCAAAGCGTTATGTTTGATTTAGGACCACATTGCCTAACTGTGATTCTAATGTACCTGGAACCTTTGTTTGGCTGCAGATAAAAGTTGATTGATTTCACTGGTCAAACCTCTACTAAATTATTATTTTTACAAAGTCAGATAATAAAAAACATATCAAAAAACACCATATGATTAATTATATTCTCAATCGGTACTTGGATGGCCCTAAAAGTTTAAAATATTAGGATGAAATGCTGAAAAAGTTGGGGCAGGACTGGAAAAGCCAGCTTCCTGCTCTATATATTTTTTAAGTAGATTTTATTTTGTACATTTATTTGTACTCATTC